GGCGCGCTCCAGGCCGTAGTCACGGAAGGCCACTTCGCGCACAGGCTGGACGTGCGGCGCCAGGTTGGAAGAGTAGGGGAAAGTCATCTGGCAGGACGACGGTTGCGACAGGAAGGACGGCTTGCTGGCGAAGTCCGACGGGGCCACATAGTAGGCGCAGCCGGGCAGGTACATGCTGGCTGCGCTCGGGCCGCACTCATCAAAGTCGTTCATGGCTCCTCGGCGTGCGCGCCGGCGAGCCCCGGGCCGCTCCCCGCGCCGCCAACCTGAGCCATCGATTGCACAAGAGGCTTGGGCCAGGATCAACTAAGCAAAAATCCCCACCGGGCGCTGACGTGCAATTCATCTTGATTGATTCTGGTGGTAATTATGTCACGTGACGCCATGGAGAGAAATGTCCTTATATCTATATCAGCTCTCGCCAACACGCCCCGGGACGGCTCCTGGCGCCGAGGCACGCGTGCGCTGGGGGCGGATCAGTCTCCCGCTCCAGCCAGCACTCCCCAGGCGCTCCCAGACCAGGCTGAGCCGCAGGCTGGTCACCTGTGCGCCGCCGGCGGCCGCCACTGCTGGGTGCATCTGCCACCGCCGGGCTGGGCCGCCCGCCCGCGCCCGCCCGCGCCGCTTTAAGTACGCGGACCGAAGCCGGCGGGGAGGAGGAGGGAGGGGGAGGAAGGGGGAGGAAGGGGGAAGGGAAAGAAGCGGAGAGCGGAGGGGGGAGACCCAGCCCGGGGCACAGGGGACTAGGTGTGAGGTTGTGAGGTTCCCACCCCCCACACCCCTTCCTGCAGCCGCTCCCTCCCCCGCGACGCCGCCACCCCTCTGCAGCTTGCCGGTCAGGAGCTTGTTGCTTCTTTCTCAAGGGGCGTAATTGCGCCACTCTCTCGGGGCACACGGAGTCCTGATTTACATATTTCTCAGCCCTGCGCGTTCATCGCTGAATAACTTGGCTTCCCCCACTCCTGACCCCGGGAGCGAGAGTGCCAGCCTCGAAAAAACCCACACCGAAACCCTACCAGGAGCTCCCCCAGGCCCCGGCCTCGGTGCCCACTCGGATCTCTCGCCCTCTCTTCTCCTCTCGCTGTTCCTGTCTCCCTTTCTCCTTCCCTGGTCTCCCTTCAGTCTTCTCACAGCTTTCTCTCCTGTCCTCTCTTCTCCCACTCCTTTCTCTTTTTCCCTCTTGCCTTCCTCCTTCTTTTTACTTTCCTCGTTTCCTCTCCTCTTTCTCTGCCCCCTGATCTTCTCTTCCTTTCCTCTAGCTGTGTGTCACCACCTCTGCTCTCCCTGTCGCCTCTCTGCCTTTCCTCTCCCAGTGCTAAAGCAAAGAGGAAGTTCAGCCAGCGGAGATGCCCCGTGGCCCTCAAGAAGCTGGGGGGTCTGGTGAACAAAAGGACCTGCAGCCCTCCTCTAAAGGTGCCTGGCCTCCCGCTCCCCACCAATCGGAGACAAACCACTGGCGCCTCCACCCTCCTCACCCTCTCTGCTTTTTGGCCTGGGCTACGACCAGCCCGCCTCACAACCAGCCCCTTCCCTGCGGCGGAGACCCGCCAAGGCCTACGCATCCACGCCGCCGCCGGGTCTCCCCTAGGCTCCTGCAGTGCCCTTGGGCCGGCATGGTCTCTGCGGGGGGGAGGGGGGAGCCCCTGGGAGGTCCGTTGGCTCTGGGGAGGGGGGCGGAATGCTCTCAGCAGCTTTTTCCTCCTTGCTTGAGCCTCTCTGCAGCACTTGGCCCTGAGAGCCCCCCGTCCATTTGCCCCAAGGCCTCACTTTCCTCCACGGCCGCCAGGTCCCTCTTTCCTAGCCCGGGTGGTCCAGGCCAGGCCTGGACTCCCGCCTCCAGGAGAGCCAGCGCTTTCCAAAGGTAAAATCGGCCTCTCAGAAAGAAGCTCCTCAAACCCAGATCCCAGAGCCGAGGGCCAGGAAATTGCCTCTCTCCCCAAGATTCCTCAGCCCAGGAAATCCCAGCACTGGGGTCTGGACCTCAGCCCTCCGCCCAGGGCAGGCGGTGCGGGCTGTGAAGCTGGTTCCCTCCCTGGCCCCGGCCGCCGCAGTGCCCGCGGGGCAGGCTCTGCCCACCATGCCGACAGACAGAGAAAAGGCGGGCGATCGGGAGTTCATATCTATTTTCCGGCCGTTGTCCCCCCCCCTTTTCTCCTCCCTCCTTTTCTCCCTCCCACTCTTCTTCCTCCGCCCCCCTCCCATCTCTGCTTTCCTCCGAGCACTGCGCAAACAGGTCTGTGGTGACTGGAGGGCAAGGAGGCTCCCCCCGCCCCAGAACTGCCCATCGTTTTGTGCACCCCCCTGCCAGCTGGCACCCTCGCCCAGATTCCTGCTCGCCCCTTTCTCCTCGGTCCAGACCGCCAGCACACTTATCTGCCTCCCATCTCCATCGCCCGCCCAAGCCTCTCCCTTTCGGGCTCGTGGTCGACGCCCCTGGATCTCTCTCCTAAAATGGCTCCCCGGACACTGCACACTGGCCTGCGGCAGCTCAGGACCCAGGGCAGCGGCTGCAGGGACCCTCCCCTCCTCCAGCCGGGTCTTTACGTGTCTGGGAGTGCGCAAAATTCTCGCACCTTCTCTTTACACGGGGTGGGGCACAGGCAGCTCGCTGCCCCCAAAGCGGAGCCTGCTGACCGCTGAACAGGGAAATGGGGAGGACGGAACCATTCAAGTTCAACGACATGGCGATGGCGGCTCAGGCTGGAGCCGCGCTTTGGCGGGGGAGGGTGCGCCATCTGCAGCGGCGCGCGGGTGCATAGGGGAACGGGCCGCGTACCCCCTCTCTGCGCGTTAGCGCGGATCCCCGTCCCCACACCCATCCTTGGGCTTTCATTTTGGGCCCAGCCCGCTTCGGCCTTTTGCCCCAGCTCCCTCCTCGATCCTCACCTCAAAACCCGAGGAAAACCGCAGCCTCCCGACCCCGCGCGTCCCGCGAGAACCTACCATGAAGACTCCGGCGTTGTGGCCTTTTCCTTGCCTGCGCGGCCCCACTCGAAGCACAAGGAGCGCATCCGACCCTTCCGGCGCATCCAACTGCTCCGCGCGTGGTAGCTTTCCGCGCAGCGCCCAGACGCGATGCGGTAATTTTGAGCCACCCAAGATAAGACACTAACTTGACCTTAACTTTGTCAGGGCGCCCCTGGTATCTGGAGAACGTGAACAGACACTGTCTGGCAGCCCTCGTAAAAGCTGACTGGGGAAGGGATTCTGAGTCATTTCATTTATTGCCACTACAGTTCTGCAAGAAAGCTTTTCCTCCCTGCCAAACTTTAATTATTTATGCTCTTTTCGAAACGAAAGAAGAGGAGAAACGCGGGGGAAAACACCCAGAGCCAGTCGCTTCCCTGCAGAGCCTTCGGAATGGGCTCCCTAAGTCAAGTGACTGGAGAACAAAAATGTGGGGAGATCATCTTTGTCCAAGGACGGTCGGACAGGCGCTGTGCACCCCCCCCCTCACGAAGGGGGGGTGATTGCAGCTGGGAGAGGCGGGGTGAAGAGGCACCCCCCCCCCGCAGACATGAATATTTACAACGGTTCTGGATTTCTCCTCCACCCGCCGGCCTCCCGGAAGCCTCCCTAGCCCGCCTCCTTCGGGGAGAGCCCCCAGGCCTTAAGAGCCCCCCGGTCGGCCCTCTGAGCTTGCAGCCGGTTGAATGCCAGCCGAAGCCATTTTTTCTCGTTTAAAACCCTTTTTCTTGGTCAAGAGGCCTGCCCGGACTGCAGCATTTCGGAGGACGCATTTGTCTTTGTGCGAGGGAATGTTGAGCACTCAGATTTCAGCATCATTTCTCTCCGCGTTTGTTTCTTAGGAATTTCGTCGTGGTTCCAAATCCCCGCCAGGACCTTGGCTAGGAAAGGAGAGACGACACCACCCCGCCTTTGTATTTGTGCGGATACAGTAAAGGGGATAAATTTGAAAAACACTGCTGAAGCCCCAATGGACAATCGAGATTTTACACTTAGAATAATTTCAATCTCTTTGGGGAGTGGGCTCCATGAATTTCTCCTCCAACCCCACCTCCCAGGCTAAAGAGAAAGAACATGATGATTTAATGGTATACATTGGAAAGAAACTGTCTCTCTGTGTTATCCTAGGGCCTACGTCTTATTCCGGTTTCCTAGTCCTTTACCCAGCTCTCTGGACCTGAGGTCTGCATGTGGCCTCCGCCTTTGTTCGGCTGTTTTGGGGGAGAGACTCAGCTCTGGGTACCACTACCTCCCTGAGCCCCATCAGGTGGGAAAACATTTCTAAAGAGGGCCTTGCAGCCTCTCACTTCTTCCCCCCCCCCCCGCCGTTGTATTTTTTCTTAAAGGAGCTGTTTTAAAAATATTTTAAAATACACAGCAAATTTGCTTCAGGAAAGGGGAGTTGGAGCCCATGACTACTTGGTATTAGAGATTTCATGGTTTTGCTAATTCTTCCACTAGCTAAAAGCTAGCAATTCTCTAGTTCCCATTTCAAAGCTAGCTGGGAGTTGAGGTCTGCAAGAGGATGGTGCATACTGAGCAGGCTTTAACTTTCCCATCCTCAGCTAGAGGCTCCTAAGGCCTACGGGGTGCGGAGGGCACATTTCCCAAGGGAACCTGCTGGGCTCCAGGCAGAGGTGCCAGTATGGAGGATTTCCACAGGGCATAGCCTGTTCCAAAGTAGCCTGATCGAAACATGGCCGGGAGAGATGTTTTGTGTTGAAATAATCTGAGGAATTTCATATCTTAACAGCACCACCCACCCCAACAGCAAGCCTTAAAGTTAGAGAATTTAGGTAAAATACAGAAGCCCTGGCCTGCAACAAGCTGAGAGTTCACTTAATGCCCTCCAATCTGCCCACAGTCCCCCCCTCCTCCCACTTGGATGTTTCATACACATTTTGTTCATAGGCTTTTATACACCATTTTCTGACTGACTTGGAAGCCATTTTCTCATTTAATGAACAGTCAACACCTGCAGTGAAACCACAACCAGAAAAGAAAAACGAATTTGGTGGCCTAAAATCATCAGGAGGGAATCCGAAACGTTTTGAAAAATTGACATCAGTCCCTTGACAGCTTGGCTGGGACCTGGATATTTATTTCCACTCAAAACATTTTGATGTATCTGATATATACAAACTATTGTGTTTTTTTTTTGACAAAATCAGAACAACATAAAACATGCACAACAACTATTAGATAGCAAAGAAAATGCAATTAGTCTAAAACATAAACTGCGCTCAGTCGGACTGAGGCTTGGGACTCTCTGTGAGGTGCTCACTCCACATATGGGGCCTAGTCCTCCACTGAAAATAAATCACTGGACTTGGGGAACGAATCTTCAACTCTTTGGCTGTCATACATCTCAGTAGGAGTTGGGGGGCGCTACTTCTCTGAAGGAGAGGGAAAAGAGGTAGGGATGGTAGAAGGAGCTGGGCGGGGGGGCTCAGTTTCTCTGAGGGTAAGGCAGGACACCCCAGCACATGCAGAACTCCTTCTAGCATCAGGAACCCCAGCCTCCACAAAGCAAGCCCAGCAGGACCCAGGGCCATACAGGCACCACTGAGGCAGGCCAGACATGGGCTCAGAAAAGGCATGGTGGCTGAGGCACAGAAAGGCCCCAGGTGGAGTTGTCTGGGGGTGAAGAGGGTGAGGGGGGGAGCTTCTCTACTTGGTCAACAGCAGCGACCAGGGGCTAAGGATTTGAGGGACCTCCTTCTTCACCCCTTGACTGATGGAGGAGCTTTCACCTCTTCCTACGGTGGCCCATTACCCTAATTCAAGAAAGATATGTCCACCCCTTTACCCACCTCAAGAGGGAAACCATATTTAGAGTTGGAATGTAGGACACCCCTCTCCTTGCTCACTCCCTTCTCCTCCCCCTGGATATTTTCCCCACCTCCTAGTGCAACCCAGCCTCAGAGTAGATTAGCAGCTGTCCTCACCAGAGCTGAGTCCAATTACAGAGTGCAGGGCTCTGGCCTAGACATATGTGAGTAGATAGGAGAAGTAGGAGAAATTTTACCAGTCCTATCTAGAGATTGCAGTTTGCTGTGGAGCTTCAGCCTCCCTCCAATCCACGGGAAGGAAGTGTCCACCCCATTCTGTCCAGCTGGAGGGGCCAGCCCAGCCCAAACTCCGAGGTGTCTTCGAATTTGTCCAGCCACACCATCCCTCCCCTCTCCCCTTTCCTCCCCAAGTCTGAATGTCTAGGGTGGCTTTTGTCCTCCCGAACCAGCCAGGGCAGACAGGAGGGGCAGGGGGGAGGTACCCTTTCTTTCTCCAGAGCCAAGTTTCTGGCTTTGCCACAAGGGGCTTTGGCTGCCAAGAGACAGAATTGTGCCTTGCAGCCCTTTTCTACCCCTTCCCGAAGGACTTCCTAAATTTAATTCCACTCAGCTCTAGTGAGGTGCCTACTGAATTCAAAAAGGACTGGGGAGAAGAGGAAAGGGAGTCTAGGTGGAAGCAGAAGTCCAAGTACAAGGGTGCTAGAGTGAGCACCCGTGCAAATACCCCAGACAAGAGCTAGGACAGGTGACCCCAGGCCCCCACTCAGGAAGCCTCAAGGCCAAGGTTATATTTCAACTTCTGCAGGCCCCTCCCAGAGAGCTGGAAGCCTAGAGGCCCAACTGGCCGGGTCTCCAAATCCTCTGCTGACTTCTGGGGCTGCAGACTGAGCGGAAGGGTACGGTGGGACCAGCGGGGAAGGAGCGGAAGGAAAAGCCCTTACTCCCAGCTTTTCCTCCACGCCAGGCCTCGGCTTTCAAAGGCAGGCCTGGCCAGCCGCGACCACTTGGGGGGCTAGTATAGCGCCAGAGCCTGCTCGCGCAGGACCACGCGCTTCTTTTTCATACGCCGGTTCTGGAACCAGATTTTGACCTGCTGGTCGCTGAGGTTCAGCCTGTTGGACAATTCCTTGCGCTTCTGGCGGTTGATGAATTCGTTGAGGAGGAATTCGTTCTCCAGCTCCGCAATCTGCTGCTTGGTGTAGGGTTTCCGCTTCTTGCGGGTCCTCCCTGGGGCCGCCCCCCACGGCAGGCCTGCAACACAGCCCCAACCCAAGTCAGAACGGCCGGCCGCTCCTTGTGGCCTGCCCGCCCCTAGCGGCTCCCTCCCCCCTCCACACTCTCCCCGCACCCCACCTCCCAACCCAGCCCAAACTGGCCCAGGGAGCATGGCCACCGTTTACCGTCGGGCAGCGAAGGTCGCAGGCAAGAGGCGACGCTCGCAGCCTGCACTGTCATGTTCAAGTTGAGCGGGCCCTTGGCGTCTTCCTTGAAGCCGGCAGCGCAGGGGGTCCCCTCGAGCAGGGCTGCAGAGCCGGCTGCCGCGCGGCCCACACCCGCGTAGTCATACTTGGCCGCTTTGAGAGCAGCGGCCGCGGGGGCCAGGCTGGACTCGGGGACGAAGGGCGGCCGCGCACGGCCACGGTCCTCCGGCCCGGCAGCCACATCGGGCGCATAAAACTTGGCCTGCTCTTCGGGTCCGTCCTTGGCGCCCAGGGGCTGTAGGCCAAGCGGCCCGGAACCAGCCAGGTAGGGCTGCGAGAAGCTGCTGAAAGCCGTGGCACCGGCAGGCTGCGCTGGGGCGCAGGAGGCAGGCGTGGTGGCCCAGGGCAGCGCGCCTCGCGGGTATGAGATGGGGGGGAGCGCTGCCAACTGGCCGCCATTCGGCCGCAGGTTGGAGAAGTAGAAGGAGTCAGGCGACTGCAGATTCAGAAGCGAGCCCACATAGCCCGCCCTGTAGAGACTGCGCTCACACATCTCCAACAAAGGGCTTCGGCTGCGCTCGCAGCAGTATTTAGTTACAACCGGGAATAAGAGGACAGGCTCAGACGATTGGACGAAACTTTGCCTGCAGGTTCTTCAAAGCCGGTCATTTCAGCACCGCCTACATCCCCCGACCCGTTTCCCCCCCTTCAGGGTATTATGATAACACCCGCAATATTCGATGGTGAAGGGCGAGGCTGCCAGGCAGAACCAAGGAACGTTAAGAGAAGGTGAAACCACTGGGAGTTTCCAGGATCAGCTTCAGAAGCTGGGGACATTGGGTGTCTTTGCCCGAGTGTCCCTTGGGATCCTTCTTGGTCTTGATTAGCTTTGCACTCCCTTTTTCCACGGGCTACCTGGGCCAGGCTTGCTTCCACCAGCTTTAAGTTGCAGCTAAGCCCTTTTCCAGTACTGTGCACCTCTATCTAGGCTTGCGCGGAGAGCCCAGAGTGTGGTGCGGCCACCAACTCTATCCCTAGGCCTGAGCAATGCTTCTCCTACCCCGATTCCTCCCTGCCCTGTTCCTCTGGAGAGGATTCTGCACTAGTGGTCTAGCAGCGAAGACCCACACACTGCCTGAACCCGGCAGAGTCCAAGAAATTTGCTGAAGGAGGAGAAATGCATCACAAACTCTGCCCAAGTTTGGCTCCCAGGAAGCTGGTTTCACACCAGTTCTGGTGTGCTTCTCCATGGCCAAGCCCTCTGCTCCCAGGGAAGTTGCGGCCATCCAGGTCCATGGAGAATGCTGGCCCAGGAAGGGGCAGCTGCATTGGCCAATCGTGGCCAAAGGCTACATTCCTTTTATCGCCTGGAGTCACCTTGGCGACTATGTCCTGCCAACCAGAACTCCAAGCTGTTCAACTCCTCTGCAGCGGGCAGAGCAAGACGAGCTCCCCCCAACCTGGTGTGGAAGGACAGAAGAGCCAGAGTCATTCGGCCAGGACCAGCGGGGCACACCGAGGCAGCAGGCTAGCAGCGATCCTCGGCTCAGCGCCTCCAAGGCGGCTGGCGGGTTCGGGGTTCTGGCGAACAGGGATGTGGGCCGGGCAGCTCTCCCTCGCCGGGAGCAGTGTGGCAGCCCCCCCCCCCCCGCAGGCCCTCCGATTTAGTTTGGCCAGAGGGCTCTGGGTCCTCCTCTGCTGCTTTGGTCCCAAGAACCCCAGCGACCGCGTGACTGGCGCCCGCCCCAACCTGCAGCCCGCCTCGCTGGTCCGCGAGCCAAGCTGGAATTGGTTAGACCGCCAGCTCCGGCACGGAGACCACACAGGCGCCGCCGGAGGGCAAGGCTGACCACCGCGCTGCGACTTTATTGTGTGAGTTATGGCGACCAATTGGGCGGCTCTGGGGAACGCAGTCGGTCTCTTCCTCTCGCTCTAGGGCGGGGGTAAGGGGTGGGGATGGGGATGTCCGGGACTCTTCAGGGTTCTGTCAGAGTTTCCTTAGGAGCTCAGACTTAGAGACAAGAACTCTACTCCCCGTCCTTTCCGGGGATTGGGGTGGTGTAGGCATAAGCTGCAACCTCAGTTCCTAAGGACTTAGGGGATCCAGGCTCTCATTTTGGGAAACTCTCCCTGTTTTCCAGGAGCTACAGCCTCCCCAGGCCCGAAGCTCCAGCTCCAGAGATCCCTGCAGTCTCGTCTCCTCCGGTCTCAGCATACAGCGATGCTCCGGTATTTCCAAGTCCAGGGGTGTCTTCTCCGGACCCTTAGGCAGCGGCACAGCTGCGGCTTACCCCTGGGGACTAAAGATATAAAGGGGCTAAGTGAGAAACAAAGACTAGAACAACTAGACTCCCTCCATATCTCCTTGGCTCAGAATGGTGCCCCACCTTATCTCCCGGATTTATAATTTCCGAGGTCCAGCAAGCAAAGTTGTACGCTGGGAGCTGGGAGCTGCAGACTGCGCGGCGGGGGGCGGGGCAGGGCAGGAGGCTTGGCTGGTGAGCTGGGGAATGGGAGAGAGAGGATTTGGCCGTGGAGCTAAACCGCGAGCTCTGCCAATGCTGCCGACCGCCCAGGAGATGGCGAGCGAGCTCCACGCCTGGCGACGCGCCGCAGCACGGTCAAGATCAACAGTGAAGGGCGGCACCGCCGGCCTGGGGTCGCCAGCCGGTGCGGTCACGGCCCTCTGCCAGGCTCCGCCAAGTGTCTCGGAAAGCCGGAGATCGTGGCAGCAAGGCTGGCCAGGACAGCGGAGTCAGAGTCACCCAGCAGGCTGCCGGACACGGGGAAGCGTCGCGGCCGCGTCTTTGTCTGTGCGCCCCGGCTGCAAAGCGTCCTTCGCCTCTTGACTCACGCGTAGACGCGCGGGCCTTGAGTCTCCACCAGCGGCGCTCGAAACCTGCCAGGTTTTCGGTGGCGTTCTCCCTGCGGCCTCTCAGTTTCCACCCGAAGGAAAGGCCTCTCTCCGAAGCTCCCTTCGCCCTGGCTCCCCGCGGGCCTCCCATCCAGCGCTTCGGCCACCTACCGGCTCCTCTACTCCCTCCTCAATTCGGAATATAAAAGGAATGCATATAAATAGCAAAGTCTTCATCTGTTACTGATTTAGCCATCAATTCAAATTCCACCGGAGAGCATTTGAGCAGTTTTAATCTTCAGCAAACCTCCCATTTCTCTTAGGCGGAGGGAAACTGACCGGCCAACTACAGATGAAAGGAAAACCTCGTGGCAATCCCCCCATCCGACAGGAAACCTTAGAAATGGACCTGGGAATGGAGTGCGGCCCTGGAGTCTGGAATTTACAAAAAAGGAGGGAAAACGACGATGGAAAAGAAGGGAAAACAGGCTCGTTTCACATGAAAGCACATCTTGTGAGGAAAACAGAGAAAACGTTAGAAACTCTTCCTGAAAGTGGAAGGTCGGGGTCGATGTGTCCCCATTTTCAGGGGTTATTTCTTCTCCACTTTGAATCATAGTCCGTTCTCTCTCTCCCTCTCTCTCTTCTTTCTCTCTCTCTCTTCTCTCTCTCTCTGTCTCTCTGTGTCAGTTAAAACGAAGTTGGCCTCCCACAGCCAACCATCGGTGCAAGATAGAAAAGAAATCAAGCGGGGCCAGAGAAAACGAAAGTAGCTTTGGACCCTGAGTCTCTGCGCTTTCTCTGGCAGATCCATAAGGGAGCCGTCCCGCCAGGAGAGTTTACATATTGTGTGAGGTTTTAAACATGTGTATTTAACTTCATACCAAAAAGTTAGCAACCACTAAATTGATTTGTGTCCGGGCGCTAACAACGGCGAGGCACCCAGTTCCTCAGCGGCCATTTCCCCCGAGCGGCAAAAAGGCCTCTAAAAGAAAGTTCATAGTGCCTAAAAATTGCAACTAGAGGTTTAGGGTATACAATTATGGTTTCAGTCCTCAAATGCTGTTTGAAGGCTGCTCAGAGAAGGTGATAAGGGATCAGCTTGAAATGTTTCTTTTTCAATGGCCAAATATGGATATGTCTAATTTCAAGACCTTCGGAGAGTAGATATTTATAACAGCCTTTCTAGGAAGAACACCTTCAAGTGAGCACAATTTCCTGTACCCAGACACAAACATACATATTGATTAAAAAAATAAAACTATTTGAATAAAGTGATAATATTGAAAGAGAAGTAAAATTTTTATTGGAGATGTTTTTTGTCTGGTAAAAAATACCATTTTAGACACCACAAAGTATATTCTCATTTAAAGACATCACTACTTATGTTAAAGCCACAGGGAAAAGGGCAGAGAGGGGTGGCAGAAGTAGAATGGAGGTTTCAGAGAGTAGAACTGGGGTTGAGTTTCCTTCATCTATAGGGAACATCGTAATGTTCAAGACAACAAGATTTTATAATAAATAAGAACACAAGAGGTAACACAAGCTTGGAAAAAGAAAACAGATATATAAAGGCACAGAAGAAACAAGAGAGTTCTGTTTATTTGCATCTCCCTAGGAATAAAAAAGTGATTTTTAAATGCCTGAAGCACTGCACACATATCCCAGCTCACAGACATTTGCATCTACAAAAATAATCTCTCAGTTGTATAAATATGCAGCACTTTAAAAGTAGTTATTTATCATCACTTTCAGAAACATCTTTTTTTTTTTAAATCTTGAACTATAGAGCTCCACATTTTTCGTATTTGTTAGATGTCTTAAAACTCCACAAGAGGCTCAATACATTTGTTCAGACAGTCAAGTTCTTCACTGGGTTCTGGATAGAAGTTCCCACCCATGGCCACATTGATTCCGTCTCTTTCAGGGGACTGAGGAGATCACCTCATTTCTAGTCCCACAGACCCAAGGTCAAGGAGAAGGTGTGCATTTATACCGCCCACGGATCACTCTCACAATTGCAGCCGTTTAAACATTTGCATCTAGAGCTGGGGAAATGAAGGCATCCAGGAGGACACATTATTTTCAAATTAAAGATTATAAAAGCACAAGTCGACAAGGTATACTAAACACATGTAACTACAACAGCAAATGAAAGACCCAAAGTAGGGAAGATTGTCTTCATTCCAATATCGACACAAACCCTATTTAATAAGGTAGCTGCTTTTAAAGCCGTCACAGTACCTCCAGCCGCCTGTTTTTAGACTTTCCCAGTGACCCTAGAGCACCATTTGCCCAGAGCTGTTTCCACTTGCCTCGGGGTGACTGCTGAGAGCTAATGATTAAATTGCCCAATCACAGGATATGAATGACTGCAAATCCTTCTACCCTAATAGATTATGAAGATAATCAGTGCTGGAAACAGGCATATGAAGTGATTTAAGAAAATAGAACCCTAAAATCATAATGGTACTTCTGAAATTCTTTTGGGGGGGATTATTAAAAAATACTTCAAGTCCTTTATACTGGCCTGGAGGGAGAAACAGAACATTAAAAACATCTTAAAAAAAACTAGACAAGAACAAAATCAATAATAAACAAGTAAGAAACAGAACTACAGAGTCAGGTTGGGTAGCAAAAGGTTTTAGAGCCAGATAAGGGGAAGAGAGAAAAACAATTCACAAAATTTGCCATCATTG